TCGCGCTCTTCAAGCTGCTGATCGCTATCAATTGCAATTGTATCAATTTCCATTTGAATTTGTTCGAACTCGTCTAATATTTTTTCAAAACGATCAACTCGCTCTTCAAGCTCATTGAATGATTTTTGCTCTGTGATTTTATAATCGGGAAATTTATTTTCTATTGTGTTGAGAAATTTAGAAAAAATAGTGACCTTTGATTTAATCGAACCTCGTTTACGAACTAATTTGTCTAAATCTTCCATAGCTATTTATTTTTTATTAAATTTAACCAATAATATCAACAAACAATATCTTTACTAGTTGCCGTAAGAAAAATACGCGAACAAATGCGCTAAAATATTGTTCAATAATTATAAATGAGGAAAATTATTAGTTCGCATGTTGATTTGTTCGATTGTGGACTGTATTTCTATTTTGCTGGGTTTTAAAATACTTTTTTATGTATAATTTTGCTATAGATTAACAAGAAAAATAGGAGACGTTTTTTTTATTACGTGTTTATTCTACCAGAATACAAATGCAAGTCATAAATTACAAGTGAATACAAGACAGTAACAAGAACAAGTTAAAGCAAATATGTCTGTCTCTTTTTCGCCCGGCTAAACCGTTATTCTCACTCCCTTTTTGTTGATCGGGTGCCATCACATTTGAACTGGATGGGTTTTGACAGGGTGCACAGCGTTGCCGGTTTGAATTATTATTTGAATTATATTTATTGAGTCATGACAAAACTAACACTATATTTCCTGTATATAACCCAAACAAACCCGGACGTTTCAGAATCGTTTGGGATGCTGCAGCTTCAGTAGGAAATATTTCATTAAATTCAATGCTTTTGAAAGGAGATGATCAATTAGCATCATTATTTGGAGTCCTTATACGATTTCGAGAAAAGAAAATAGGGTTTTCAGCTGACATTAAGGAAATGTTTCTACGAATTGGCATAAGAGATGAAGATCAACAAGCACAGCGGTTCATTTGGAGAAATGGAAGTCATGAAAACAAATTAGAAACTTACGTTATGACTGTAATGACGTTTGGAGCTACGTGTTCTCCAAGCTGTGCACAATTTGTCAAAAATATGAATGCTAAAAAATATATTACAGAATATCCTAGAGCAGTAGAATGCATTCTTAGAAATCATTATGTGGATGATTTACTTGATTGTGCCGATACAGAAGAAGAAGCTGTTCAGTTAGCAAAACAAGTAAAATTTATTCATTCTAAAGGAAATTTCGATATTAGGAATTGGCGATCAAACTCAAGAAATCTAAATGAAATAATGAATTCTACCACACCAAATTTAGTAGAAATCAATTTAAATAATGATAGCGAAAATATAAAAGAAAAGGTTTTAGGAATGTGGTGGAATTTAACAACAGACTGTTTTATTTTTTCTTTAAAATTCAATAAAGGCAATAAGGATATTTTACAAAATAAAAGGAAACCAACTAAACGAGAAATTTTGAAAATCCTTATGTCTATATATGATCCTTTAGGACTTCTTGCAAATTTTTTAATATACTTAAAAATACTTTTACAAGACATTTGGAAAAGTAAAATAACCTGGGATGAATGTATAACAGATGAACAAAATGAAAAATGGAATATTTGGCTAACTCAACTTACTAAAATTGAAAATGTATCAATACCTAGATGTTATTTAAAAAATATTGAAACTTGGGATAACGCACATATTCAAATGCACATATTTGTAGATGCTAGTCAATATGCTAGTGCAACCGTAGCTTACTTGAGAGTTGAAAGTCAGGGCGTTATTGAATGTGTTCTTATAGGAGCAAAAACACGTGTTGCTCCAATAAAACTTCAGAGTATTCCAAGATTAGAACTCAACGGAGCCTTGATGGGTGCAAGACTTGCAACAAATTTAATCCAACATCTATCAATTAAGGTTAGTGAAATTATTTATTGGTCTGATTCTATAATAGTTTTGTCTTGGTTACGTTCTGAAGATATCAGAAAACTAACCAAATATGTAGCATTCAGAGTAGCTGAAATACAAGAAAACTCTATAATCGCTAATTGGAGATATGTTCCAACAAAACTAAATGTAGCCGATGAAGCAACCAAATGGACCAATCAATTACATTTACACCACAATAATAGATGGTTTAAAGGTTCAGAATTTCTATATAAATCAGAAGAATTCTGGCCCACTGATTTTATAAGTGCAGAAAGAAATAAGGAGCTAGTGTCATTTCATGAACCAATAAGACCAAATTTGAAAATTCAAATTGAAAAATTCAGCAACTATAGAAGGCTTCTAAATGCAATTGCTTATATTCACAGATTTATATTCAATTATAGGGCTAAAAAACAGAAACTAAAAGAATCCAATGAAACTTATTTAACATCAGAAGAATTACTTAAAGCACAAAATAATTTAATAAGAACGGTACAATTTGAATTTTTTAAAGATGAAATTAAACAGCTTCAAAAAGAAAATTACGATGATTTAGAACATAGCGTAAATAAATCTAGTAATTTGTATAAATTATCACCATATCTTGACGAAGATGGTTTAATAAGAGTTAAAGGAAGGTTGGATAATGTACATATATTACAAAATGAAACTAAAAGACCAATTATATTACCAAGAGAAAGCCATTTAACCAGACTTATCGTTGAAGATTATCATAGGAAATATTACCATCAAAATCATGAGACAGTAGTTAATGAAATAAGACAAAAATATTATATTCCCAAACTCAGAATGGTCGTTAATAAAGTGAGAAATAAATGTCAATTTTGTAAAATTAAATTTGCTAAACCGGAATTGCCTCAAATGTCTCCATTGCCTGAATGCAGATTTGCTACATTTATGGCTCCATTTACCTATACAGGGGTGGATTATTTTGGACCAATTACAGTAACTGTAGGTAGAAGAGTTGAGAAAAGATGGGGAGCTTTGTTCACATGTTTGACAATAAGAGCAGTTCACTTAGAAGTAGCACATAAATTAGATGCAACAAATTGTATTCTTTGTTTCAGTAACTTTATGAATAGAAGAGGTCGACCCCGACATGTTTATTGTGATCGAGGAACAAATTTTATTGCCTCAGAGAGGATTTTAGGAGAAGAATTGAAAAAATTAGATCCATATTTAATAGCTAACGCATTTGTTAATCCAGAAATAACTTTTCATTTTAATACACCTTTATCTCCACACATGGCTGGAGCATGGGAACGACTAGTTCGAGCAGTAAAGATATCCCTCTACAATGCATTACCATCAAGAACACCTTCAGATCAATTACTTAATAGCTGTCTATTAGCAGCAGAAAATATCGTTAATTCACGACCATTGACATATTTACCTCTAGATTCAGAAGAGTCAGAATCTTTGACACCTAATCATTTTCTTTTGGGTTCTTCTAATGGTGATAAACCAATGGCTCAAATTGATGATGATATCAAAGTTCTCAAAAATAGTTATTTATATAGAGAACAGTTCGCTAATAAATGTTGGCGTCGTTTTGTCACGGAATATATTCCTACTCTTCTACTAAGATCAAAATGGTTCACGCAAACTAAACCACTTGAAGAAGGAGATTTAGTTATTATATGTGATAAAGATTTACCAAGAAATAATTGGCCAAAAGGAAGAGTAATTGAAGTTAAGAAAGCAGCTGACGGTCAAGTAAGAAAAGCAAAAGTCCAAACACTGAATGGAATTTTTGAAAGGCCCGTAGTGAAGTTAGCAAGACTTTCTATTAATAAACCAGAACAAACACAGGGTACATCACACTCAATATGAAGCTGTAGTGATGTACCGGGCGGGAGTGTTAAGAATAGTTTATTAATTTGTTCTTTTTGTTTCGTTTGATTAATTTGAAAAGTACTTGCGCTCTATATTGTTGTAAAATTAACCAGCAAAATAGAAACGTTGTCAAAATTCATTTTAAATTTGTCAGAAATCCACTAAAAATCTAAGCTCAGAACTGAGAATTTATAGAGGCTAGCGTGAGTTATTTGTATTTATTATTATTATAAAATTATGAGCTTATATACATTTTAGGAATTTGAGTGCTACTAGCACAGCTAGAAATAAATTATAGATTTTTGAAAGGCACTACAAATCTAGTCTCATTTCCAACAAGTACCATAAATCATAAATCAACTTTTATCTTGATGTTTCAAAACCTACTGTTTTAATTCAATTGAAACCCCTCAAGATCCCAAGCTTCATTTGCACCAAACGATGTTGTTCTTTTTACTGATGGTTGCGAAGGTATGGATAGAAACTAAATTTTCAAAGGCATACCAATACTATTTATTAAGTTAGTTTGTAACAATATGAAATATATAATTATTATTACTATTATTATTATATGCGAGATACATAAACTGAAAACTGCTTCTTCTTCACCAAACTTCACTTTGAAAGTGAATAGAGGAATACTAACACCAACATATTACGTTGAGTTAATTTAAAATTATGAAAAATAAAACTACAAGAAATTGTTAATTGAATTATCAAAAACTTTAAGTAACAAAACAGCTAACTTTCAATTATAGTATATTGTTGTATTAGGAGTAGAAGGTTCACTTTTTTGTGCTGAAGCAGTAGGTTTGCGAGCCGAACGTAGTGAGGCTTGCAATACTGCTGAAGCACAAAAAAGTGCTTCTACTCCGTATGCAACACGCTATTTTTTCTCCAAACGAATGGGGTAAGCTCCGGGGCAAGTGAATGGTTGTGCGGCAGTAAAAGTACGAGCGGCACTAAAAGTACTTCTACTGCCGCTCCAGCGGCACTAAAAGTACTTTTGCTGCCGCTGGGGTTGCCAAGCAGCATAGAAATTAAATTTCTACCACCTCGACAGGTGTTAAACCGCTGGATTTGCCTAGCAGCATAGAAATCAAACTTCTGACATCTTGACAGGAGTTAACAAAGTGACGTTTTTCTGACGTTTGGAGAAAAAATACATTTTATCAAAATTGAACAATAAACTAGAACGATAATAATTATTATTAATTTAAACTTCAAAAGCAGTCAGATCCATCGTAACTACTTGACTGATGAGGCAGTGTCCAGGCTGAAACAGCATAAAAAAAGTGAACCTCCATTTAAGCTTACAAACGATCACCTACCTTAGGATAAATGCCGATAAGTCCATTAGCATGAGAAAAGAATTCTTCTTTCAAGGATATAACAATAATTTGCAAAGATTCAGTTTTCTCGCTGATAAACTTGGCGACTTTTCCGATATTTGTATTATCCATCGCCGCGTCTACTTCATCCAGTACGAAAAACGGAGCCGGCTGGAAAGAGTGTATAGCAAACACCAAAGCCAAAGCCTCTACCGTTTTTTCTCCACCAGACAAATCAGACATTCGCTGGTATCTTTTGCCTGGAGCAACACAATCATAATCGATACCGTCCAAATACGGTTCTTCTATATTTTTGACACGCAAATGCGCTTGAGCCGCTTGATTCTGGGACAAGGCTTTGTATATATCGTCAATTTCACGAGCCACATGATCCAAGCATTCATTAAACTTAGCGGTTCCGAGATTCTTGATTGTATCAAAGGCGGCTCGAGCTTCATTATTTCGCCTCTTTAGCTCGTTAAATTCTTCATTGGTCGACCGCAGTTTGCCTCGCGCTTGTTTCAACTTTTCCATAGCTTTCATGTTGGGCGCCTGAATTACTCGAAGAATTTCTTGTAAGCTCGAAATTGCTTTAAGAAGCTTTTTTTCGCATTCCTTATACTCATTGTCGTCTTCTAAATGCAATAGCTCATCTGACAACTGACTGAAGTTGATTTGGATTGTAGCATCTCGTTCATATTGTTCTAATGTGCTGCTGGCACCCGAAGAAGTTTGCGTGTCAGTAGCTGCAATATCATCCATATTACCTGCTGACAAGGCAATCGCAATGTCTTCTATCTAAAAAGATTAGTACATATTTTATATTGAAGCATAAATTTGCATATTTGAAGGTACTTCATGTATACATCCAGGGTGACACAAGGAATAGGGAACAGCCTATAACTTTCTTATTATATGAGTTGAAAATTTGAAATTTGTGGAGCTTAAACGAGGCAACTTTTTGAGTTTTTTATAAGTAAATTGCGTTACCAGTCACTTTCGGTTTAACCGGGAGTGGCCATAACTTTTGATTTTTAAATAGGACACCCGATATTTTTAAAGTTTTTTGGCATCAGCAGATCATTTTTAGTATGATAGGACTATTTTTGGAAATTTTTTAACAAAAAAAAAAATAAATTGAATTAATTTTTAGAAAAAAAAAAATTCGGAGCTGCCACTGGTGTAAATTGATTTAGTTGGATATTCTTAATATCAGGAAAATCTGTAACTGTAGAAATAGCCCAACAACTTTTGAAAAATCTTTTGTTATAAATCTTTCAAAAATGGTCCTTTGGTACGTAAAATGATCTGCTGATGCCAGAAAACTCAAAAAATACCGGGTGTTCTATTAAAAAAATAAAAGTTATGGGCACTTCCGGTTTAACCGGAAGTGACTGGTAACGCAATTTACTTTTAAAAAACTCGAAAAGTTGCCTCGTTTAAGCTCCCCAAATTTCAAATTTTCAACTTATACATTAAAAAAGTTATAGGTTGTTCCCTATTCCTTGTGTCACCATGTATAAAGTCCGTCGATTCTATTCTGATATTTCAAAGGAATGTGAGCTGGCGGCACCCTACATTAGAAGGCCAATGGTCACCTGACGTCCCACCTGTTTTTGCCATAATGCTTCACTCCCTCGCTCCTCATACGGAAAGTTTCAGATTAAAAACAACGGACAATAGTGTCGTAACTTATCTATAACATCTGAGAATTCTTAAAATTGAATATTCTTGATAAGAACGCAAAGTACATACATCGGATGAAGGACAACTAGAATTTGTAAAAATACGTTTTTCTGCGATTGACAAGAAATGTCAGCATTTTTGACCGGTTGACAGGTCGCAAAACGCAATATTCTGGTATTTCAATTATGTTTCAATAGTTGCTAAGGAATCAATGAATAACGATACGGGAAACACTTTTCCGGCCTAGGCCGGGAAAGTGATTCTCGTATTGCTGAATAATTGGAACTAAAAGACAAACATTTAACAGGAATTTAACCGATCGCAGAAAAAATAGTCTGTGTATTTCGGTGGAAAAGCACATTCTCGGCCTTCAGTGTTTGCCGGCCTCGGCTACGCCTCGCCCGTCAACTTACACCGTCGGCCAAGAATGTGTCACTTTTCGACCTAAATACACAATATACTATTTTGTCGGAAAATAGATTCCATTTTATTAATGTTGATGATTAAGTTTGACCATTCTGGCAAGATTGGGCCATTGGAAAGCAGGAGATATCGACTAACCATACCCTAGGCCGTTAAGTATTATGGGAAATGCCATTTTGAATAAGGCTTGAAATGTTATCAAATCACCATCCTCTATCTCTCTATGAAAGAAAATGGATAACGTTTAAAGCTAGAACAGTTTGACCATAAAACTATATTAGAAAAGGCTGATAAAATGTCGAAATTACTCATTGATGGTATAAAAAATTATAAAAATTCAAAATACTGTAGTAGTAAAATAAACTATAGATGAACTTTATATAGCTACTTAGAAGTTACATACCTTGCAATGTAAAAGTACAGCACTCTTGAGTTTATCAATTGTGGATTCAATAGACATAACATTTTTTTGAAGGGATTGCATATCCTTATTTGTAGCTTTAGCATCTCGTCTGGCTTGATCTATAGAAAAACATAATCAATTCACATTTTTATTGTACCTCAATACAACAACAATTTTTATTTTTAACCATATATGTAATGTTGTCATTACAGACTTTTTGAAAATGTGAAAATGTCACTTTACTGTCTTTTCATTTCCCTGCTCCATTTCCCGTCCTCACTTCCCGTCCTCATTTCATTATATTTATGTGGCAGGTATTGTCAAGTTTTTTTTCAAAATTGATGACAATGACATAAAATTTAAACAAATAGCATGAAGCTACGTTCACGTTCAATTTCTTTTCTAATTTGAATTGGCAAAAAATTATGGTTAAAAATAAAATAGTATACAATGCTCGACAGAAAATTTAATTACTGTCTCGAGATATATAAAATCTCTCGACAGTAATAGCTGATTTCCACTCTCGCATAGTAATATACTAATTATATGGAATAATTGAAAATAATTTATCATTTGACAGAAATTGATAGGAAAATCTTGATCAATGGTTTACAAATGTGGAATTGTTTATATAGGATAACATTTCAAATAACGCTTATACAGAGTGTCCGGAGTAAAAACTTGAAGTACACATGGGGATTTTGGGAACCATTGAAGAAATAAGGTGAACCAAATGGGGAAAAAATCCCTTATATCTTCTTTATCATAAAAGATACAATTAAGATAGAACCCTGTCCAAATTATACGGAAATTGTGTTTATGTCAGAATTGGCTGAATTTTCTATATATACAGGGTGAGTTACTAAGAGCGCGGTGGTCCATATCTCCTATACTAACGGAGACCGAAGAAAAAACTGAATACAAAACTTGTAGATAAACATGAGTACTACATTCCTAAATTATTTTACAGCATACAGGGTGGCCCAATAAGTAGGGGAAGCATAAAGTTATGTTTTTTAAATGACTCCCCCTGTATATTATGACATTCTAGA